CTGTTTTATGATTTTCTCCAATTATGAAACTTAGAAGGAGGCAACATTTTAAAAATTCAATTTCCTTTTGATATTTTTCGAAATTTTGAAAATTCAAAGGAATAAAAGCATTTTCAAACAAGATAAGTTCTCCGGAAGTATCTTGGAATTCAGCGAATATCTCTCCGAAGCTCAAGATTAATGCTGGAGAAAAGGAAGCCAATTTATGGGACAAAATTTGACAGGGCAAGGAAATAAATTATCCCATGTCAAGGTTTGCAAGGGTACACTCAGAAGACAGTGTAACTATTGCATAAAAGGCGGCTCGAATATATAAATTACTTGATAAGGCATCGCACAATCCGAGTGTAACCATGAGATATGGGAGTCAAAGAACACTTCAAGTAGAGGAGTATACAAGCTACCGCATCAAATCAGTGAACATCAATAATGCCAAACCATTGATCAAAAACAGCAACCTGAGACATTTTATCTTTTCTTTACTTAACCATTTCCCAAAGATAGCTTTTGATCTTGACACTTGTTAAATAGCTATAATTTATTGAAGGATTAACAGTGTAATTAATTCTTTGATAACCAATGAACTCTAGTTTTATGATTTGTCAATTGTAAAACCTAGAAATTAGCAATATTTTCAAAATCTTTGATTAAACATTTTTCAAAATTCTTCTAATTGATATTTTTCAGAAGAAGAAAAACACTTTTCAAACAAGACAATCTCTTTAGAGTGGATCTTGGTATTTGACATATGGCTCTCAGACACAAAGCTCATGCTTAGAATCAGTGCTGAAGCAAGAAACAATGAACAATGGGGGCATCTTTGAAGATTCAACATCGAATATTGGGGCATCTTTGGGGATGCAACATCTTGATGCGAACGATCAGATCTTCTGAAGGTGTTTCCTCCACCAGCAGGAATAAACATACTATCAGTATCCTATGATGTTGTTTCTCTCGAAACAAAATGTTGTCTCGCTTAAGATAATTTTCTTTCAAAACAAATTTTGTCTCATTTGAGACATAAAGAATCTTTGAGCTTGTTTCTTATGAAACAAAATTTTGTCTCTTTTGAGACAGCTTCTTTTGAATCATCATCTCTGAGTCAGTTTCTTTTGAAACCAGACCACTTTTAGATGGCTAGAACTCTTCATCACGTATGAGTCGTGTCATCAATTGACCAGATCTCCTCATTATGTAGGAGTTGTGTCAACTCAGATAACCAGTCGTCCTCATCACGTAGGAACCGTGTTATCACTCTAAGATGGTCTGTCGTTCTCATCGCGTAGGAACTGTGTCATCACCTGACCAGATTTCATCATTATGTAGGAGCTATGTCAATCCCAGATAACCAGCCATCCTCATCACGTTGGAACCATGTTATCATCCTTAGATGGCCTGCTGTCCTCATCGCGTAGGAACCATGTCATCACCCGACCTAATTTCCTCATCACGTAGGAACCGTGTCACTCCAGATAACCAGCCATCCTCATCACGTAGGAACCATGTTATCACCCTTAGATGGCATGCCATCCTCATCGGATAGGAACCGTTTCATCACCTGACCAGTTCTCCTCATCACATAGAAGCCGTGTCAACCCCATATAACTAGTTATCTTTATCAGGTAGGAATCATGTTATCACCCTTAGATGGCCTATTGTCTTCATCACATAGGAACCGTGTCATCACCCGACCTGATTTTCTCATCACGTAGGAACCGTGTCACCCCATATAATCAGCCATCCTCATCACGTAAGAACCGTGTTATCACCCTTAGATGGCCTGTCGTCCTCATCATATAAGAACCATGTCATCATCCGACCTGATCTCCTCATCACGTAGGAGTCGTGTCACCCCTTTGATAGCCAGTCGTCCTCATCGCGTAGGAACCAAGTTATCACCCTTCCTAAAGATAGTCAAGAACTCTTCATCACATATGAGCAGTGTCATCCCTTGGCCATATCTCCCTCATCACGTAGGAGTCGTGTCAACTCTTAGATGACCAGAACTCTTCATCGCGTATGAGTCATGTCGTCCCTACAACACAAACATATCAAGTCTCCAAAATAAAAAAATGGAACCAAACAAAAACTGGTTGTCTTTTTCATCTTTGCCATATTCTTGTTAACACAAGAATGTGCAAAAGGAGCAGCTGTAGACACCTGTTTTTATCCGGGTTAAAAAAAATATTATTATTATTAATTTAATATTATTACAAATTTTGCTTGCAGGTCTATCAGTCAAATACCAAAGCCCAATACCAGTTACCCAATTACAAAGCCAAAAATAAAAATCCTGGAACCCAAATTTACAAGACCCAGATCAACAACCCAGCACCAGATTCGACCCGGAAGAGGACCCGATCCAGACCAGCAACCCGACCTGATAGATCAGGGTTATTAAACCTAATCTAACACCACCTCATCCTTAGCCATTGGATCTGGACCCATCCAATGGTCCAGATCACTCAACACTGAGGCTTTTGAAACCCTAAAACACAAACTACTGCCACCATCAACTAGTAAGACGCCACCGAGCAGTCTCTGAATGATCCAGTTGAATGTTCCAGCCGGCCACCGAGCCACCAAGCTGCCAAATATCATCATCACATACGTTAACAGTAACTAAATTGGCACCAAATCAAACCTACTCCACCAAAAATCCATTAAATCCATTAATAAACAAATCCCACACCCCACTACATGCAACGATAAAATAAGGAGGGGGGAAAGCATTCGAAGGAGGAGGAACATTTTTCGGGGAAGGGGTATTCGAACAAGAGCAAAAACAGAGATTATTCAAGGGTTTTCGAACAGAAAAAATACAAAGAGGAGGAATGATATCTTATAATCACTAAAAAAACATGTAATCCTTCGAAACATCAATACAAAGCACAGAAAAAATGGAAACAACAAGGTATTTTCTTCAAAATGTATCTTCTACCTTTCACATACAACATTTTTCTCATTTTTTCAAAATAACAAAGTAAAAAAAAGGACTAGATCTTTTAGCTTCGGGTTGAGGAAGCTTTTAAGCTTTAAGGTTTAGTTTGGGGGTTGCTCAACTACTGGTGGTGGTGGTCGAAAGACGAGTGATCACGATCCACGACGGTGCTCAGATTTGGGAGAGGTTTCGGTCAAGAAATAGCAAAGGCTTTGTTTCATCTTTTGGTCTCTTTGGGTTCGAACTAGGCTAGGTAGATAAAAAAAGAGTTCTGAGGGTTCTGTCTGAGTAAATCCGGCCAGCAAGGTACGGTGGCAGGTCATTTTTGTGGTTTCGAAGAAGGAGGTCAGAGTGGGTTGAAGGAGAAAGAGTTGAGAAGAAGAGATGAAAGTGGCTAGGGTTTTTGTCTAAACTGTTATAAAGATAGCATATATAAGCTAAAAATTAGGTAAATTGTGTTTGAGCCATTATACCTTTGTTGCGTATTTACATTTCGGTCACTTAACTTTCGCGTAAAATCACGCTTAAACCCTCTAACATTTAGTGTGTTTGTTGTGAAATGGTCACTAATTGCTTGCGTAAAATTGCGTTAAACCCCCCTATAACATCACCGTATTTTACATTTTAGTTATAGAATCCATATGTTTTGTTTATTTCACTTTTGCCACTTAAGTTTTGTTATTTATATGTTAATCACTAATACAATATTTTCTATTTTTTCTGATTTGTGCATTTTATTTCCGGTTATTTTTATTTTAGTCACTAACTTACTAACTTTTTATTTCGCACAAACTAATCCCTAAATTTTTGTAACACTGGTATTTTGGTCATTGGTGAAACTTTAAATTCCTTTTATTTTGAACACCTATTTTATTTTACGTTATAATCTCGTCCATTTTTCATATTTAATGTTTTTGTCTTATTTATGCTTGAACCACTGTATTTTAGTTTTTCTACGTTTAAGCAACATAAATTGTTATGGTTTCATTTAAATCAATTTTATTTTGTTATTGTATGTTTTTTAAGTTCCTATTTAGAGTATGATATTTTAATTGTTTATATTTTAATCCTTCTTAATGTTCTGGACTTATTATCATTCTAGTGTAATTATTAAATAATATTTGTGTATTGAATATGTTTTATATGTTCAATGTTAGTGATTATTTTAACCTTTTTATTAAGCATGAATAGTTTTTATCTCAACTCATCACATTTGTAGGTAAGTATTTTAGTTTGAATTTATATACCGACAAATTAATCAATATTCAATAAACAGATCATATTTTAACTTTATATTCGATTCATAACTTCCACCATTACGACAACGTGTAAGCGAAACAATACCAATTTTGAGCGCTGTGGGGGTGCTAATCCTTCCCCACGTATAACCGACTCCCGAACCCGTTTTAATCAAATCTTTGGTAAACGCATACTAGCTTTTGTCTTAAAAATCGATTTTTCTTAAAATTGTTTTTAAAAGATGTTTTTTAGGTATTCGATCTACCTAACCCAAAGATCGATGGTGACTCATTTCAATTTTATCCAATTTAATTAAAAATCACTCCTTTTCCAAAATTAAAAGTCGTAACTTTTTTTAAAACAATAAATAATTATTCCACCTAAAAACGGTTATGACACTGGGATACGAGACCTAGACTTGCTAGATTATTTTCGTTTTTCAGTGTTTTAAACTATGCCTCCGGAAATCTTTGCAATGAATTATCATATATCTAGGGGAAAGAAAATGCAGATCAGTTGAGCTTACTTTCGGTTAAAAATAAAAATCGATGGCGTTATCTTATCTGGTAAAACATCAGCCAAGAATACACATAGAGTTCTGTATGTTAAAAGGGCTTACATCTTCGCAGGAGTCTACAAGTTGTGGCTGGTGGCAGGTAACTTCAGCAGACGACAACAATCCAACAGTGCTTTCGATTTTATCAGGAACATGGAAAGCCTCTCCAGAACTTGAAATGGCACTTGCAGGCATAACCATATCTCCAGCATATTCGCAAATTTGTTGAGTTGTGTTAAATGTAGGTCCGGCAGATATTGTGTCTCAGTTGCCAGCTGACAAAGTAGGGCTAGGGGTGGAGCTGGTTTGAGCATCACAAACAGCAAGGAAGCTTAAATTCTCAGAGGAAGAAAACTTCAAGAAAATTTTTGACATAACTTGATCGAGTTGATTCCTGGGTTTCTGAACCTTAGCATGCACAATTTCAATCTTCCTAAGTACTTGCTCCAAGGAATTATTTTCATCTCTGAACTCGAAAAGCAATTGATCGTTATTAATGCCGGATTTATCATTGCAATCTGTATGTTGGTCCGTATCAGCTGCACCAAGCAATGGCAAAGATCACTTCAGAATCAAAACTAAGAGAAACCAAAATCTACAAAAACGTAGCCTTGACAGTTAACATATGATAATGATTTTCAGTGTCATCCTAGGATCCATAGGACTAGGTTTTTGCAAAATGAATAGTTATGAATGAAATTAAAATATAGGAGATCGATTCAGGGAAAGGGAAAATGATATTACCTGTGTTGGGAAAATCGTCGGCAATATAAGCACCATCTGCAATGGTTTTCCTGTTTTCCGAAACATGTTACAAGCAAACCACACATGAGCATCAGGGTTAAGGCCAATCAAGAAAAACACTTAAACAACGATAAAGAATAAAGGAAAAGCTCGTACCAAAATACGAAAATAAGTTATGACATGACATGTATGAGGCTATATCGGTTGCTTCTTCAATTCTCTTTCTTCTCCTCCGCTTGATGGCCATTTTAAGGTTATACTGACTAGAAAATGGCAATGATTTTGAACCAAAACCTTCCAGTGCAGATTGATCAATTCCAGGAAACTTTCTCTGATTGTATGCTGAAAGTTCTCTGGTGTATTTTCCTGCTTGAGACTCGATTTGTTTGATTCTCTGTTCTGTCCATTTGCAGTGCAACATGAGAGGCCGAATGAAGTTCCTCCAATGGCTTGTCAGCCTCTTCTTCCTGAAGGGCAAGTACGTAATAAGATTACAACATGTCTGCTTGCTATGCAAAGTGAAAATTGATTTGAATCACGTAATGTTTCAATGAATAAAGATTTGGATGGAAAAAATCAAAAACTGAAGAATTTACCACAGGAAACCTTTAGTTGTAGCCAAATATTGACTGTATATGCATACATAAATACATGCACACACATGCATATCCAAATTATTGAAATGCTCAAACATGTATATAAGGATTAAAAGGTCGTAAATATGGAAAGAAAGCAAACGTTATATGAAACACAGTACTAAATGGTTCGTAAGCAGATGCAAAAGCAGCATCACCAACGAACTGATATTCGACTTCAGCATCACTCAATCCAGAACATTTATCGGTATCAGATGTGGTGTCAGCAAATAAGCTGGAACATTCAGTTGCATCCGGATCCTCAATTTTAACTGTTGTAGTGTCATTATTATTTGTGCATCCTATTATATCAACCTCGACATCCTCGGGAGCCTTATTTTGTTTATGCCTCACAACCTCCATGTTATCAATGCTCTCTTTGCACTTATTCATCCACCTTGAACAAAGCTATCCAAGGGAAACGTCTTCTCCTTGTCAGCTGCAGCTTTTACAGCACAATGTAGTTTATTACCTGGATTAACATCCATCAGTATCCGTTCAGAAGCCATACAACAGTCATAGTACCAAAAAGCAATGCACCAAAGACGATGGCTCCATGGTTCACCTTCATGCTGATTAAAAACCAGCTTATATTAAATTTCAAAAACTCGAATCTTCCAAAATCAAATCTGCACGTGAACTGAAAGATAAACACAGCTATATTATTAGCTAATTTGGTAATTAAACAAGGCGGGAATAGCACAAATGATTTTGATCAAAGGAGGTAAATGAGAAGAGAAAAAAGAAATGAAATTAGAGAATTCCCCCACAGGAAGTTAGAACTATAAGACAATGCAGCAGCCATTAAATGTATACCATCATTAATTTCATATGACCAAGTAAGATACAAGAAATCAGTGATTATGCAGATACATAAGGCAAATTGTATAAAACGCTACCATATTTTGAAGCCTGGAATCCAACTATCATAAAAAAGGCATTTCTATTCTTGAATTTTGAATTTGAAACAAGACATCAGAAAGAGCTTGTTGAACAAATATTCCAAATTTTAGTAACAGCTGACTAAGTTCTTAGGGCTCACTCTTCTCTCTCTCTCTACCAATTCTCTCAAAAGAAAAAGGCTTTCTTTCTTTTTCTTTGTTTGGGGCTTCTTATGTGGTAACAGCTAACAGCTTCAACATCGTAGCCCTTAGTACCGAAAGGGCGGTTCAAGGGTGCTAATCCTTCCTTGACCGTAATCGACTCCCGGATCTGACATATCACTGGTAAGACGCAGATCAGGTAAGAAATAAGGTATCCGATCAACCCACTTTTCGTAAAGTAAATGATCGGTGGCGACTCCCAATCCATTTTTCAAGTCGAAGCCCAATTCTGGGGCCCACCCGAAAGACGGTTCCGATAGCTTGGCGACTCTGCTGGGGACAGGTAAGTGAGTCAGGCCGAAATTAATTTCTGGTTGTCTTTTTTAGCGAAAATTACAAGTTTAAATTTTAATTTATTTATTCGATTCTAATTATTTATCTTTGATTATTTTTCAAATAAATAGTTGTACTTATGTTTTTTAATGATTTCAGATTTTCAACTTTTTTCCGTCTAAGGCTCTATACCCGAGCTCTGAACCCTATTTAAGTGGGGGGTGAAAGCGACGCCTTCATGTGAATTTATTCACCGTGCGGGCCTAGCAAGTAGCCTTCGGGATTCATATACCTTATGTCTTCGTGTGAATTTATTCACCGTGCGGGCATAAGAGAATGTGTCCTCTCGAGTTTAACTTAGTCCACACAAGCCTGTGATGGGTTTAGGACTAAGGGTCTGGTAAGCCCGAGGAGGCACCGACAAGGAGAACTCGGGTACCGTTTTTTAGAACCTAAACCGTGAGGCTATGGAGAATTAGAGCCCACCCCAAAACCTCATTCCAAAACCTAGGTTGTTTTGTTTCATGCTTTACTTTATGTTCAAAGCATGCGAACTAGACAAATATGCGGCTAGGATTTGTGTGGAATTAGCATGTGGGATAGAGATCATGTCCGGGTAGGAATTAAAGCATGTGGGGTAGATATCATGTGGGGTACGATTTTTCATTTTATTATTTTGATTTACCTTACTAACTCTTTTCATTTCTTCTCTTTTATTTTATTTACATCATATGCATCATTTAAAAGAGGTGTTGATCCACCAAAAACATGCTTATTAAACATGAATAATCTGCATTAATGGACAAAGGGGTTGTAATACAAGAGATGAAAATATAGAGGACAGTCTACAGGGCGACTATGTGTCACATTCAATCCAGAAGACGTGGTACCCGCAATCGAAGAATATGTCACCTTGCTATATTGTAAAGGACTCCGAATGGACCGGAATTTACACCGAGCACACTAAAGTCAAATTTTTAAGAGGCAAAGGTTGCAGGGGCAAGACGAGGAAAAAGTTACTGACCCAGAGATTCCTTTCGAAAACTACGAGAACAAGATGAATTCCAGAAACAAGTCGATAAGCTTCGGATTGAGGGCTTCAATGAAACGTTCGTTAGAAACAAGCTCGACAGAGAGTGAAAGTCGGAGATGCAGTCATTCGATACCTTTTTTTGGGGCAAACAGCTTGTCACTTGCAAATTTTGGCCAAAGGAGCCTGAACGGTTCGACAGGATATTCAACCGATGACAGACGAAGGCAGAAGACTAGTCAACATGTCAGAAGCTGTCAGGATATTTTTGTCTCTTAAAAGATAAAACACTTTTGTCCCCAATAAGGATTATTCATAATAACAAACATGTTTTTGAATCAATGCCTCGAACATCTCATGCATTTTTTTTTTGCATTTTTCACCTACATTTCATTTTTAAGCATTTTCATAAACATGAAATTTCTTCATGGAGGATTCGATGAAGTGGTTTTAACCACATGACACCACATGGAAGCAAGATTGTAACATCAAAAGAAAAAAACTGAAAATAATACAGTGGGAGCCTGATCAGCTGATTATAGGACAAAGCCTGCCAGGATGATCTAAGAAAAGAATCCCCATATCCTAAGGGCTACGATGTTGAAGCTGTTAGCTGTTACCACATAAGAAGCCCCAAACATTCCTCTGAAAACTGTAAGGCGCTTGCCGAAGAAGGGGGTATGACATATACCATTTGCACTTAGAGGATTGTTTTGTTTGAACACGTCTTTGATCTTTCATGTTTGCTTAATCTTTTAAATGATTGAATTTATGCTTCTTTCTAAGGTGGAGCAATTGAACAAATTTTAATCTTTAGTTCTTCGAATATTAAATGAATTAATGATTCTTTTAATTCTTCAAGAATTATAGATTTTTGACATATGGAAAGACTAGACCTTTCTTACCCTGTCTCAAACCCCAGAATAAAATACCTTGATTCTTTGCCCAAAACAACTCGTGGTCATTACCAAAAGACAAAATTTTGACATTACCTCCTTTTGAAATTCTTGAACATTGCGTTTATCTTTTAGATCACCCCACTGTCCTTTTTAGACTCAAAAATAACCTTTCTTACCATTAAAACCCAAGGCATTGAGTTGTTCATTTTAACATGAGCATTCTTCTAAAGAACCAACTTGGGGCATCTCACGGGGACCCTGAACATTGAGACATCTGGGAAAAAAGAAGAAGAATTCATTCGAAATAATTCTATCATACATTAATTACATTGTTTTCATGTGAATAGAATTAATCTTGAAAATCTATCCCCCTGGGGATACCTCTTGTATGAAGATTTACATGTATGAAATGATGAACGACTTTCTTTCTTTATCCCTTCACAACAGGAGAAAAAATATATCCCTTGTGTCCCCTTTTGAGCCTGTAGTATTTTTCTTCTGATTCAACCCTAACCAAGGATCACCCTCCACACTGGGGGGCAAGGTGGAAGAAATATGCTCATATGAGCGAAGACATTGATTCAGATGAGATACCAAAAGGTGAACCAAATGCCAAGTGCAAAGATTCAATCAGAACAAAAAGGGCAAAAACAAAAAATAAAAGAAGCAAAAAAGAAGAAAACAAAAAAAGAAAGAACAAAAATCAAAAAGAAAAAGGGACAAAAAAGCACATGCAAAGATTCCCAAAGACAAATGGTACATCAAGCTTCAAACTATGAGATTGATCAATCACAATCATTCCCGAATCACTGAATCACTTCACTCGAAGATCATAGAGCATCAAGAGAGAGAAACATTTTGAGCAAGATTGAAGGCATCAGAATGAATTGATCCTTGGTTCAACACCCTGAAACACTTGTTTGGGCCTATTTATCCTTTTCTTTCATAACCATGAACCCTGGCCTATATTACGTGCCTTAAAAGTCCCTTCTAATCATACATGGATTTCTAAACAGAAGAGAATATCTTCAGATTTCATCCCGCCCATCAGGATTAATCTTTGTTTGCAAAAAATAATGTAATTAATGCATGGTAGAGAAAAATAACAAAGGGGGGTTCAAGACGTAAATCCTAAATAACATCTTGAAACCAAAGGAGGATTTGAGTTAAAAACCTGAAAAGGCGGCTCGAATATAAAAATTGTGCAACTGAGGCGATCACACAAATTCCTTGATAAGGCATCGCACAATCCAAATGTGACTATGAAAGCTGGGAGTCGGAGAACACTTCCAGTAGAGGAGCATGCAAGCTACCCCATCAAACCTTTGAGCATCAAATGCCAAACCTTTGACCAAACACAATAACCTGAGACCTTTTTATCCTTTCCTTACTTAACCATTTCCCAAAGATAGCTTTGATCTTGGCACGTGTCAAATAGCTATAATTTATTGAAGGATTAACATTGTAATTAAACATTTGATATCCAATGAACTCTAGTTTTATGATTCGTCTCAATTGTAAAACCGTGAAAGAGACAATATTTTCAAAACTTTTGATTAAACATTTTTCGAAACTCTTTATTGATATTTTCAGAACTTTGAAAATAAAAGAGAAAGAAAAACATTTTTTTTCAAACAAGACAGTCTCTCTAGAGTGGATCTTGGTAAATGACATGTGACTCTTAGACACAAAACTCATGCTCAGAATCAATGCTGAAGCAAGAAATGAGGAACATTTGAGGCATCTTTGGAGATTCAACATCAAATATTGGGGTATTTTTGGATATTGGGGAATCATTTGGGGATTCAACATCCTAATGCAAATTATCAGACCTTTTTCAAGAGATAAAATATAACCAATTCATGTTACATGCATCTTATGCATACATTTTAGAGCATAATATTTATCATTTTCCACTTACATAATTTTTTGCAGCTTTTAGAGTCAAGTTTCGACTTCAAGACGGAGGATACTCAATTCAAAAGCACCTTTAAAGATTCATGTTGGTTTCTTAACTCAGCAGTAAGAAGCTACACTTCGACCAACTCGACAGATTGA